ATGGGTCTATTTTTGGGTTCTCAATTCTATTTCATTGGTCTAAGTGTCTGTCATTGTACTAATACCAGACAGTTTTGACTATGGTGGCTGTGTAGTAGGTTTTGAGATCCAGTAGTGTGAGACCTCCTACTTTGCTCTTCTTCAGTAGTGCTTTGCTAATCAGAGGTCTCTTTGCTTTCCATATAAAGTTAGTGATTGGTTTTTCTATATCCTTAAAAAATATTGATGGGATCTGGATTGGGATTGCATTGAACATATAAATTGTTTTGGGTAGAATTGACATTTCACAATGTTCAATCTTCCTATCCATGAGCATGGTATGTTCTTCCATTTATGTAGATCTCTTATGGTTTCTTGAAGTAGTTTTTTTTAGTTTTGTTTGTACAAGTCTTTTGTATCCCTGGTAAGATTCATTCCCACATATTTTATTTTTTTTGGTAGCTATTGTAAATGGTATTGATTTCCTTATATCCTCTTGAGAGGCCTCTTTGCTGATGTAGAGGAATCCAACTGATTTTGGGATGTTGATCTTGTATCCTGCCACGATGCTAAATTTCTCAATTAGTTCCAGTAGTTTTTTTTTTACTGAGTCTCTTGGGTTTTCTATGTAAAGGATTATATCATTGGCAAGTAGGGATAGTTTGACTTCTTCCTTACCAATTTGGATGCCTTTGATTTCCCTTTCTTGCCTTACTCCCCTGGCTAGGACATTTTATACAAGGTTGAAAAGAAGTGGTGATAGAGGGCATCCTTGTCTGGTTCCTGTTCACAACGGGAATGGTTTCAGTTTCTCTCCATTGAGAATAATGTTGGCTGTTGGTTTTGCTTATATGCCTTTTATTATGTTGAGGAATTTCCCTCCTATTCCATTTTTTTGAGAGTTTTTATTAAGAATGTTGTTGGATTGTATCAAATACTTTTTCTCCATCTATTTATAAGGCCATGGTATTTTCAGTAGCCTCATATGCATGTGAGAGATGGACAGTGAACGAGGAAGACCGAAGAAGAGTTCATGCTTTTGAGTTGTGATGTTGATGAAGAATGCTGAAAGTACCGTGGACTACCAGGAGAACTAAAATATCTGTCCTGGAAAAAGTACAGCCAGAATGCTCCTTGGAAGCGAGAATGGCCAGGCTTCGTCTCACCTACTTTGGTCATGTTGTGTCAGGATGGACCTTTCCCTGCAGAAGGATATTATGCTTGGTAAAGTGGAAAGTCAGTGAAAGGCAGAAGACCCTCAGTGAGATGGATTGACACACTGGCTGCAATGATAGGCTCAGGTATAGCAAGGATTGTGAGGCTAGTGCATGACTGGGCAGTGTTTTGTTCTGCTATTCACAGGGTTGCTGTGAGTCGGAGTTGACTTGATGGTCCCTGACAGCAATAACCCCACAAGGATACTGTGAGGCTTATTTGCATTACTAGCAAGCTGTCCAATCCCCATGGTGGGCCACAAGCACCTCATTTGCATAATCCCACCCAGTCATTTGGTGGGAGTTACAAAGACTGGCTAGAAGGGCCTGCAGTGCAGGGAGTTGCTTCATACAACCCTTCCCGTATTGTAAACCCTGGTCTCTGTGCCTCTTCAGGGTGGGATGTCAGAGATGATGGAGTGGCGCACAACTCTGGAAAGTTGGACATTTGGGACATCTTTAACCTTTCTCTCCTAGGGACCAGCCTTGTGCTGATCCTTCTAAAAGAAATGACGTAAGCAGAGGCCATATGAAGTCACTCGCTGGATCCCAACAGGCCGTAGTGAACACACCAGACAGATATTCTGCTAGAAAGGAAAAGTTTTCTTGAAAGAATAACTACATTTTATGAGTTGGAGACTCACACAGTGTTAACAAAAGACCACGACTTGTGTTCTGCCTTGCAGGTGACCTGCTGTCACCTGTCCTTCTCCTGTGCCATGGGCATGCTGCACAGCCTGTGGCTCCCAGGAGCTGCAGCAGAGACGATGGCAGCCTGTGGGTTTGGAAGCCATCCCATGGGGTGCTCACAAGAACCTGGGCTTGCAGAACCCCTGCTCCCAAGCCCCGGCTCCTTGGAAGGGAGTGGCCACACTCCACTCGCCTATCTTGTGTTGCAGGTCTCGTGAGCAAGGTTTTCCCAGTGGAGACCCTGGTGGAGGAAGCCATAACGTGTGCAGAAAAAATTGCCAGCAATTCTAAAATTGTGGCAGCAATGGCCAAGCAATCAGTGAATGCAGGTAGGGCATGGGTGGCGGAGGGGGAGAAACTTCCAGAAGCTTGAGCTTTTTGGCTGAGTGACCACCGCCTCCCCCATGGATGGCTGGGGTCTCCATGTCCCCATTCACAAGTTCTGCAGGAGCCTTGTGAGCGTCCCTTTGTCCCAGGACCCAAGAACTGGCCTGCAACCAGCAGAGTCTATGCTCTGTCCACCTGGAGGGACCTGCCCTGCCGCAGAACCACTCGGGTTTTAACCAGGCAGTGATTCTCGCATTTTGAGTGAGAGTATTGTCTGTTGACAGGACCGTGAGCAGCGGGTGAGGGGCGTCCCTCAGGACGCTGCTGCCTACCTTGGCGTCTGTCCACCTGTAACTAAGGCTGTTTCCTTAGTTACTCTCCCTTGAGTTTGCTATAGCCTTGAGTTCCAAAAACCAACTCAAAATGACTCACAGGGCAGCGAAGAACTGCCCCACAAGGTTTCCAAGGCTGTAAATCTTTATAGCCTCATCTTTCTGCCACAGAGTGGCTGATGGGTTTGAACTGCCAGCCTTTTGGTTAGCAACAGATGGCTTTAGGCACTGTGCCACCAGAGCTCCTGGCCTTGAGTTAGAGGGGCTGCTGCTATAGTGAAGCCATTCCCATAGGCCCTGCACATCCTACTACCTTAAGATGCAGGCACTGCTGTTTCTGGGAACGTCATGGCAGTACCAATAGGACACACTACTCCACATGTTTGCATGAAAAAGTTGTTTCCCTGATGGCAGCTTTCAGGCTTCTGTCTGTAGACTCGCTTATTCCCCCAGGATGAGAGCCAGGGTGAATGGTGCTTCTGGTGCCCAGAACCTTCTGTCAGGGCCCTGACTGCCCTGGGCTCAGATAGGACGTCAAGAGCATCAAAGCACCTTATTGATGAGGTCGTTTCGTCTGGGTGACACGTTTGAAAAGGGAGGTGAACAGAATAGGCAGAGTGCCAATCAGGCTCGCTATTACCTTTGAAATCACAATGAAATTGAAGTGTGTGTGGAGGGGCCGGGGAAGTTCCTGTCCCCATAAAAAGTCCCCGTTTTTGACATGCCAGTGCGTAACTCCCAGGGTTCTTTTTCTCAGCTTTTGAAATGACGTTGACAGAAGGAAACAACTTGGAGAAGATGCTCTTTTATTCCACTTTTGCCACAGTGAGTAGACAGCACTCATTCCCACCTAAGAGCTGCTCTTATCTCCCGTCATACCTAGAGCACGACTTCCCTTCCCCGTCCATCCAGCGGGCTGGATGTGTTCTACCAGAGTCTTGGTGTTAACACACAGTTGGCATGTGCGAGTCCAGAAATGGGAATGCGTGCAGGTTACTTGCGACTGCACAAAAACCAACCCACTGCCGTGGAGTGGATTCTGACATACAGCGCCCCTAGAGGACAGAATGGAACTGCCCCAGAGCGTTCCCAAGGGTGTCAGTCTTTCTCCCACAGAAAGATTGGTGGGTTTCAGCCATCAGCCTTTCAGGTAGCAGCTGAAAGCTTAAGCACTGCACCATCAGAGCTCCTTCTGACTACCAGAGGGCTTGGAAAGTTGTACCCTGCAGGAGCTCCTTTGTTTAAAATTCCAGTCTTCTGGCCATGCTTTTCTTGGACCATGCCCATTACTGGGAATGTGACCCAGTGTGCTACGTTACTGAATTTCATGCAGGATTCTGCCAGTGGCCTAAGGAACCTCGCTCTTCTGGCCGTTTGATCCATCTCTTTTATTGTCAGAAAGTCACATCTCGGTATACTTTGTTGTTGTTGTTGTTGTTGTTACGTGCCGTCGAGTCAGACCCGACTCATAGCGACCCTCCTTGGGTTTCCGAGGCAGTAGCACTACGGAAGTAGATTGCCCCATCTTCCTTCTGAGGAGTGGCTGGTGGGTTTGAATCGCCAGCCTTCTGGTTAGCCAGTCAAGTGCCTTAGGCACTGTGCTACCAGAGCTCCGGTATACTTTGGAAAGATGAAATACTGATGGTTTGGGCTCTTCGGGAGAACATGAAGGCAGTGTGTGCATGTTTTGTGTGCATGCCCATGTGTTTGTGCCTGCACGTGTGTGTGCACACGTGTACACATGCAAACGAAAGGGCACCAATGGAGAGTGTAACTCCTGGCACCTTCCTCACTGACACTCCTGATGCCACTGAGGAGTTGGGTGACATAGGTGTCAGCTTTATTTCTGTCCCTCTAGGAAGACCGGAAAGAAGGGATGACTGCATTCATGGAGAAGAGAAAGGCCAACTTCAAAGACAAGTAGGAGCCAGCTGACTTGAGTTAAAAACCTTCCTCTAAGGAATAAAAAATGTGCCCAATAGAATCAAATAAATCATTCTCTCAGAGGACGCTGTAAGTGACGTGCAGTTTCTCTCCAGCTGTGGCACTGTGAGGTCTCAGCTCGGACTTGTCCTGGATGCGGGCCGTTCTCCCAAGGCAGCCCCAACAACCACCTCTGCAGCTCACTAACTCTGCTGACTGTATCCTAAGCCAGGTTCCACTCATGGGACCTTCGGTGTCTTTAAATATGTATTTGTTCTTGGTTCCAGGAACTGAGAGATGTTTCTATAAAAATGATCAGCTTGCATATGGCACATCACATTCAGACGATGCAGCAGCTGTTGGGTTGGTGTGTCACTCAGAGCTGCTCGGACACGCCTGTGTCTAGAGGGACACTTCTGGGGCACTAACCCTAAACAGACAGGCAGTGAAGTGAGAAGGTTGCAGAGGGGCAGTTTAGTTTTTTTTCTTTTGCTTTTGTTTTTCATTGACATTCAGAACCTCTGGCCATGCCTGTGAGGTGACGCGGTGAGCCCCGATGCAGCGTCTCTGCCGTCGGGCTAGTCTGCACCTCACGAGCTTGTCTGTGTGCCCGTGCTGTGCCCCCCCGCGCGCGTGCAGCTGTGCACTTGGTTCTCTCTGAAGAGTGCTGGTCTGCATGCGGTGCCCTTGACTCCCTCTGCCTGTGGATGCCCGTGGCCGTCCTCCCACTTTGTCGGGTACCTGGTAGTTCTGCGGTGAGGCCTCATGTGGAAATGGCTTCCGTGTTGTTGGATGTTCAGACTGCGTCCTGTTGCTTCGTATCAGGGAACCACCATGGGGGAGGCCACGGTGGACATCGGCTGAGTCCTTGTCCTTTAACTCGAGCTGCTCAGAGACTGTGGAGGTGGGCCTGCTGTGTTGAGGGCCCCTGAGGTTGGCAGAGAGCCACTGCTCCGCCACATTAATCAGCACCCCGGTGGGTGGGAGGCCGGCAGCTGTACAGCTGTGGTCTCAGACTGAAGTCAGGAGGGCCTTCACTCAAGCCATGGGGTGTTTGCTCACGACATTCGTGCCCAGCCTGCTGACCCAGAGCCTCTGTGCAGCCAACTCTGACACTGTGTGATTCCCTGGGGTCTGGGGCCCTAGTAGTGCAGACATGGCGGGTATCCTGGAGGGAGGGCGGTCAACTGTATATGCCAGCAAGCACCAGGGGGGCGGTTTAGGCCAAGGGACAGTCATCACTCCAGGCAGTGGGCTCCCTAGTGTCACAGGCCCACTGAGGAGGCCGGGAGATCTGCGTTCCCAGGTGCCTGGCACCACCATGCCCCAGCTGTGTTCACCATGCTGCCAGACAGGGCCAGAAGTTCCCAAGGTGGCCCTGGGGGCAGCGTGGCTTCTGGCTGGTTCATGAGGCTATGAGGGAGGGCAGACAGGTGTCTCCCTCAGTAGGAGCCCAGGAACGGCTGGATGGGCAGCTGTGGATAGTGTGTGAGTGTTAGCTTACGGAGCTCCCACTACCTAGAGTCTGGATAAACAGAGGCTGTGTGGGTTCCCGGGGAGGAAACCGTGCGATCCTGCTAGTTGATTCCTTCACTGCTCTTTCACACATCTACACCGGGGTGTGAGGAGAGCTGAGAACCCCATTCCTGGGCTACTGTCACACCAGGCTTCAGGTTCTGGCCAGCAGCCATAAAACCTTGCCCCTGGGGAAAGGTTTGAGGTCCCCTGAAGGGCCAGTTGGTTCCAGAGCACATGGAGGGCAGGGACCATCCTGGGGCCAGGGAAGGCTGGGACCCTCCACCACTGGTTCCAGTTGGAGGTGATATGGGGACAGTGAACCTTGGTTACTGTCCACATACTGAAGCCAGAGCCTGGCTTCACCTCCCAGGAGGAGGCCCCAAGCCCGCAGGGCTCTGTCCTCTGGAGTTTATGGTCCTCTAGCCCCTTGTAGCATAGTGGCTAAGACACTTGCCTGCTAACCAGACGGCTGGCGGTTCAAACCCACCAGCCACTTCTCGGAAAGAAGGTTGGGCAATCCTATTTCCGTGGTGATACTGCCTCGGAAACCCAAGGAGGGGTCGCTATGAGTCGGGGCCGACTCGACAGCACATAACAACAACAACAACAGCCCCTTGTTGAATTGATTTGCACTTGAAGCTGAAAATTGGCCCCCCTTGTCTACTTGCATAAAACTCGTGTTCCTGCGTGTATCTTTGTCTGTCTCTCTCTGTCTCTCACACTTTGGAGATGTTAACCATCGATGCCCAGGGCCGGGGGAGGAATCTGCACCGCCGCACAACCCGGGCTGCCCTAACCAGGCCCGGGGCCCCGCGGCGGTGCAGATCCCCACCCCACCTATTCCTGGACAGGTGCCCCAGGGCGAGCTCCTGGTGTCCAACCTGCACCGAGCTGTGTCAGTACAGCTCGCCCCTCCCCTAACACGGCCCGCGCCTCCGCCCCGCCCACTCCGGACGCGGCCCCGCACCTCAGCCCGGCTTCCTGCTCCTCAGTCTTCCGGCTCCCGGCCGCGTCCCGCCTCGCCCCGGGCTGCAACTCCCGCCGGTCGCCGCTTTACCCGCCAGCACGGCCATGGTGGTTCTGAAGGGGGTCCCCGCGCTGCTGTCCCCGGAGCTTCTCTACGCCTTGGCGCGCATGGGGCACGGAGACGAGATCGGTGAGCTCGCGGGGTCAGCGCCCCGGGACGCCCCTTCCTGGCCCGCTCCCCTGCCCGGGAGGCTGGGCCCGCGGCCTGGGAGCACTGCCGCCTCGGGCCGCTGCGCGGCAGGGAGCCCTCGGCCCGGTTCCGTAGGCCCGGCCCCGCCCCCTGGGCCCGCCCGCGGGTCCCGCGTTTCCCGCGTTGCGGGCCGGGCTGTGGCTCCAGGCAGGTCCGGCGTCCCCTGCCCCAGCCTGGCTGCCCTCGGGGCTAGGGTGGCCGCGCGGGGTGCTGGGCCCCGGCCTCAAGGACGGGCTTCAGGCCCCTAAACCCTGCTGTCCATAGGGTGCCCTTTTCTTGGAGTTGTCCGCCCACTCTGTGGGGACACTGGGGCGGAGCTCCGCCTCTCCGGGGCCCAGCGGAGGACTCTGCCCTCCCGGGTCTGAGCCAGAGACCGCCTCTCCTCATGCTCACTGCCTTGTCCTGTGCTGGATTTCAGCCCCAGGGGCATAGAGCCTAAGGCATCTGATTGCTACCTAGAAGGCTGGCGGTTCAAACCTACCAGCCAGTCCTGGGAAGGAAGACTGGGCAGTCTACTTCCGTGGAGATAATGCCTCGGAAACCCAAGGAGGGGTGGCTATGAGTCTGGTCCGACTCCACAGCAGTGGGTTTGGTATTTTGGTTCAGACCCAGGCTGGTCTGGGACCAGTAAGGGCTTGGGGGGCACCAGTGGGCATGGTCCGTGTTGGCTGACATATCCCACCGTGACCTACACCTTGATGGGGTGAACATAGTCTGTGAAGTTGGATGGGACTAGACAGAGGGCTGGCTGGTGGCCTGGCTCTGACCCCATACGGTGGGGTGGGTTGTCTGACCTGTCTGCCCATTCAGTCCTTGCAGATGGCAACTTCCCCACCGCTTCCTTATGCCAGCACGGAGCCATGGAAATCCGTGCCGATGGTGAGTGGCACCCTGCTGCAGACCCCTGGGGTTAGGGGCTGCCAGGGTCCTGGCTCTGAGGGAGCTGCAGCTCTGCCTCATCTCCGCTTCTTGGGGTGACCCCCAACAACCCAGGCTTGTGAGCCCCCAGAGGTGAGCACTGTGTGTGTGTCCCCGACCTGGTCTGGTCCTGCACGGTCTCCCCATGGTGACTGCATCCAGATGAGGAGCCCTAGGTCCCTTACCGATCCCTCTGTGACCACCCAGAGCCTTGACACCCTCCCAGTGTCTTGTCACCCTTGGACTGCCTGGCCCTCGGGAAGGTCCTGGAAGGTAGGCAGGGCCATTGGTTAATCCTAACCCTAACCCTACCCCTCTGTTGTGGGCAAGGCCCAAAGGGCTGGGGACATGCGCAAGGCCGTCCAGTTCAGAAGCAAGGTACAGAGAGGTGTGCTGGTTGGGACGGGAGGGGGGCATGCTCTCTGTGTCACACGCCAAACTGCTTCCTTGAGCTTGTTACCTGGCCAGCTGGCAGCTCCCTTGTCCCTGGGGCACCTCATCTGCCCCTGAGCCCCCTCCTTGGTGGCCGGGCAGGAGCAGTGTCTGAGCCGAACTCCGCCTCACCTCTAGGCCTGGGCATCCCTGAACTCCTGGAGGCGGTACTAAAGCTGCTGCCGCTGGATACCTATGTGGAAAGCCCGGTGAGGCGTGCAGCAACCCCAGCTGGAGGAGGGGGTGACATGTGCCGGGCAGCTGGGGTGGGGGACGACTCAGCTGACTGTAGCCCCCTCCAGGCTGCCGTCATGGAGCTGGTGGCCAGCGACCAGGCCAGGGGCCTCCAGACTCCTGTGTGGACACACTATGAGTCCCTCCTCCAGATGTCGGGCTGCTGGGTGAGCCTCTGTGCCTCTTGGAGGCTGTGTCTTCACATGGCCACTGCTGGCATGGGGCTGAAGAGGTGCACCTGGGGTGGGAGCGGCCAGGACTCATCTCTGGCCCAGCCTTCTCACACCCCGCACCCCACCACTCTGGACTATCTCTGCCTGGGATCCTCACTCCCCACAGCCGAACTCCAATGGCTGCTCTCTGGGCACAGCCTCTGCTAGCCCCCAGCTCTTGCTTGGGGGTTTTCGGCTTTTGAGTTGGAATCAACTGCGTAGTAGTGAGTTTGGTTTTGGGTTTGGGGTACAAAGGGTGGTGAACCATCTGGAGTGAACCAGAGCCTAGATGGACCTAGAAGGTGGGGGGGGTGCCTGGCCCCTCCCTGGTCACCACAGCCATGCTGTCGGGTTCCAGGACCCCCATCTGCAATCCTGGCTGTTGCCCACACGCTAGGACGGGGTCTCCAGTGACAGAAAGGATGAGGTGGGGGGATGGTGGTCCTCAGGATCACAGTTTCTGAGATCTGGGCGGGACAAGTCCCCCAGGTTCCGCCTCCCAGGGACCCCTGGAGCCTGGCTTTGGCAACAGGGGAACCCCGGGTCCAGGCTGAAGCCTCCAGGCCACTTGGAGCCTCAGGTCCGCCTGATTAGTCTGCACAGCAGGAAGCTGTCATAGCTTAAGGGGGCCCAGAGTGGGACGTGCCCGAGAGGAGGGATGCTCCTGAGCAGCCTGGGGGCTCGGGGGTTCGCCGAGACGGCCGGCTGAGCGACGCAGCTGGGCCCCACGCCAGCAGGCTCCATCGACCCACAGACACCCCCACCCTCAACTGTCTTCCAGAAATCGCTGGAGAAGGTTGAGCGGTTTGCGTTTTATGAGCGGGCGAAAAAGGCCTTCGCCATAGTAGCAACCGGGTGAGTCCCGTGGGCATGCCTACCTCCCAGAGACCCCACCCAGGGCTCCGCCCGTGCTCCCGGGATGTCTCTGTGGGGTATGGGGGGTGGAGGGTTGTCCCTTTTTCCTAAGCTTCTGTCTAGCCGGTGGGATGAAGATGGGATCGTCCCTGAGAGGGAGAGAGCGGGGGTCCTGGTAAGCCCCACCCTCAGCGCTGCCTTGGTGCTGGGACCCCGTGTGGACCCCACACTTGCCCCTCATGCAGGGACACTGCCCTCTATGGAAACATCATCCTGAAGAAGGGGGTACTCGACTCCGATGAGCTGCTCTAGACCTATGGCAGCCCACCCTGTGACCCAAAGGGACTCGAGGGGACCCCGAACCCTGACACTGCCGCCCAGCAGCCCCTCACAGACACAGGCCCCAGCCCAGACATCTGGGGACTCCTGCTGGCCTGGAGGGGTCTCGAGATTGTTGCAAAGATGCGCTTAACCCACAGCTTTGTTCTCCTGAGTACTCACTTGGCATCTGCCCCAGGGAGGTCACCAACTCCCCAAAACACCAGAGCAGCCGCCTGCCACCCACGGAATCCTTGGCTGGGAAATACAGGCTTCCATCTTCCCTGGGGGCAGAGCCAGGAGACGCTTTGGTGGGGCAGGGACCAGGACCAAGGGACTGATGCCTTGGAGCCCCCAGCAGGAGGGCGGGAGGCAAGTGTGTCCCTAGTGGGGTGGGACTTCTGCATGGCTGCAGACACTACGGTGGCTCAGGCAGGGACTGGGATCTGTCCTTCATCCCAGAGGCCTGGGGAAGGGGATGTCTGGATGCTTGGAAAGGCGACTGCAGGTTGGGGTGCTGCCAAATGTAGGACAGTGACCTAGGTGTGTGGCCTGAACAGCTCGGGGTGTGGGCTGGGGCATTGTGGGTGCTGGGCTCATGTGCACCGCACTCCCCACCGCTTCCCCCCAGCCCCCCACCCCACCCCACCCCCATATTAAGCTCCTACTGTGTGAGGTTGCTGCTGGGCACCGGCTGCACCAAGCAGGACTTGGCTGTCCCCTTTGCAGTGGCTCCCACCTCTGAGCTCCCTAGCTGGCCCTCCGGATCCTGTGTAAGTGGCCATCTGACCCCAGGCCTGCTCTCTGCATCACATGACATGGCAGCTTTTGTCACTGACCACACAGGCTCATGTTAGATATTTGGAGGAACAATCGACGTGAACTACGTATACTGAAGGTGTACGACTTGATGTGTTTGCACATCTGTGTCCACCTGGGGACTTGTCACCATCAGAAGGGACCGTGGCCCATCACCCTAGAAGTGTCATCCTGCCCTGGGAAGTCTCCATCCACTTTCTGTCAGTTTGTTAAAACAACCATCTTGTGTGTCCCTGCCCCTCCCTCAGCAAGGTCCCCTGCAGAGCATCCATACCCTCACTGAGCGGGGTCCCTCACACAATACCCCACAGCTTGTGCACCCATTGCGTGTTGACGGACGCCTGGGTGGTTTCCAGATTTGGGCTGTTGCAGACCAAGCTGTAACATCGGGAACAAGCCTCGTGCTTTCTGGTTTCTTGGGTAATGAATACCTGGGAGAGGAGTGGCTGGTCACACAGGAAATGGGTGTAACGTTGTAAGAAACTGCCAGTCTTCTCCCAAACTTCCCTTCATTTTGCACCCTCAGCAGCAGGGAGAACGACCCTCAGCTCCCCCGTGTCCTCCGCAGTGGGATCTGTCTCCTTTCTGAGCCACTCTCCTGGCTGTGTAGTGTCTCCTGGTTCTAACCTGCAGTCCCCTGATGGGTAATAAGGTGTCGCATTTTTTAATGCACTTATTTGCCACCTGTTCCTTTGGGGATGTGAATGTTCTGGTCCTCCCTGGACCTTTCCTGTCTCTGACCCTGCTGTGGGGGGCCCAGTGGGGCTCTCTCTTCTTGGCTGAGACTCATCCCTATGGCCAACCTCTTGTCCCCAGACACTGACCACTACCCATAATGCTCACACCCTGTGCTCTGTGCCAGCATGTAAGGGGGAGGGCCTAGAGGGATGGCACCCTTCCTGGAGCGGGTGCAGCTGGGTAGGCAGCTGAGGGCCAGCAGGAAGCTCTCGGTGGGCCACGCTGCGGGCATTCTGTGGGCCATGCTGGGGGCTCTCAGTGGGCCACGGTACAGGCACTCAGTGGACCATGCTGGGGGCTCTCAGTGGGCCACATTGGGGCTCTCAGTTGACCACGCTGGAGGTGCTCAGTGGGCACCAGTGGGGCTCTCAGTGGGCCACAGTGGGGCAGGCGCCCCCAGGCGAACGGAGCCCTGTTCTCTTCACTCCAGATAGTGCCGGGCCTGAACTGTCCACGAAAACACATGCGGCCTTCCTGTCTGCTGCTTTCAGGTGTTTAGTTTGCCTGCCTGCCTGGATAGGGGCAGGCATTCCCTCCAGGGGAGAAGAGGTGGGGAAGGCAGTCAGGGCCCTGCAGCGTGGTAAACGTGGTCACGGTCCTCCTCTGGCCCCTGAAGGATCTGGAGAGACAGCAGTGCCCGAGGCCAGGGCCCCTCCTCACCCTGGGCCTCCTCAGCTGGGGGGTGGTAAAGGCTGTCTCGGTCAGGCTCAGGACCCTGACTGGGACTCTGGACTTGGGCCAGAATGTCCTCAGCCTCCACCCAGGCGTTGGCACCTAGGGACAGGCCGAGGGAGGTGTGGCCTCAGTTTCCCTCCCGAGCCCTCCTCCCCTCCCTTCCCCTCTGTTTCCACCCTGGCAGCCCCCCACCCCACCTGGCAGCTTCTCCTCGGCAGTGGTGGTGGCAGGGGCCTTCAGCAGGGGGAGGAGCCCCGCAAGCAGGTCATGTTTCTCCAGGGTGTCCAGTGCTCTGGCCTTCCAGGCCCTGGGAACAACAAGGGTCAGGTTGTGAGGGCGAGGCACTGCCCACCCATGTGGTGGGAGGTCTGGCTACAAGGAGGTGACATCCTGCAGTGACAGTGAGTGAGGAGCCAGGATCACAGCTCAGAAGTAGGGAGCAAATCCTGGGTGCTCACTGCTGGGCCCAAGGTGCAGACATGTCTAAAGGGGGACTGGCTGCTTCAGGAAAACCCGCAGGTGGGGGGCCGGGCAGCTGGGGCCAGGCGAGCAGAGGAGCTGGGTGAGTGAGGAGCTGGGCGCAGGGGCACTTACTCCTCTGTGTCCTGCTCCGAGACCCTGTCCTTGCCTTTGAGCTTGGCGGAGACCTGAGGAAGTCAGTCATAGGTGAGGGTGCTTGGAGAAGCCCCGAGGAGAGGTGCCCTTAAGCCCAGCTGGCTCAGCCAGGACTAGTGCTCAGCAGGAGGGGCCAAGGATGAGCAGAACCCCAAGGCAATTGGGGATCGGGCAGAGGGGACCCCAGCCTGTCGGCATTTGGCTCCAAATGAGTGGCCTGGCGAATCCTCTGGCTTCCCGCCTGCTTCCAGGTCCCTCACTCTGACACACTCCCATTGGGGTCTCCCTGTACCCCTCTTGAGGTGGCCAGGACACTCAGGACTTGGTATCCCCTCCCCACAATGCACTCACCCCAGGTGTCGATTCTGGGAGCAAAGCTGCCAGGGTGGGGTGTGATGCCACGTCCAGGGCTGGTTGAGGTCAGAGGGCAGCTGCCTCACCTCCCAGGACCTGACTCCTGGACGGCCGGACTTGCCTGAGCCCCAAAGCCACCTTCTCTCACTTCTAAGGAGCCTCCCAAACCACCACCAGCATTGTGGCCCCTGGATGGGGGCAGCCTCTTCCTGCCTGGGGGTGGGCGCACGTGGTGGGACCGGCAGTGCCTACCCTCCCCAGCTTGTGGTCAGGAAGGAACGGGCCTCTCTACCCGGTAGCCGAGGCCCAAGCGGCCAGTGCAGGGCCTAGTCCTGGCACATAGTGTGCACATGCCTGGCTCCCACAAGGGCGCAGGTCACCTGAGCTTGTCTAGCAAATCCAGCAGTGGCCAGTCCCATCAGTTCCTCTGACCTGGTGGGGTTGGGGTTGGCGCAGGCGGGTGGTCAGAGAGGGTGAAGGAGAAGAGTAGGGGAAGGGCCCCAGGTACCTGTGGCGCTGGCACCGTGCCTGCTTCCTGCAGCATCACAGCCACCAGGCTGGCGACTAGGATGAGCCTGAGGGGAGAGACGGGGCTAGGGAAGTCCACTGTCTTGGCCTCCCTCCCCTACCCCAGCCAGCAGGGTGCGCCCGCCCTGAGGCTTCTGGAGCAAACACCTCAGTGGGCTGGCCACTCCTGGTGACAGGTGGGGACTCCAGTGACCCATTGGCCCACACCTCTGAGATCTCCATGTGTGCCTTGCAGACTGTGGAGAGACATGGCTGCACTGATGGGGACAGGGACACAGCTGCAAGTGGTGCAGCCTCAGTCCCCAGTGAGTACTCTGCACTGACAGGCGTCTTGAGGACGTCTGGGCAGCCTGGCTCTGCCCCTAGAGCCCCGGAGCAGCTGGTAGAGGGCAGGCGAGGCATAGCTGGCAGGCGGCTGAGGGGGGATAAAGGTGGCAGTCTGGGCATCTTGTGGAGTGTGGAGGCCAGGTGACCCCGGTGGATGACACAGGGAGGAGGCTGGTGGCAGAGGACACAGAGCCACTCACCCAGGCAGCAGGGAGGCGAGGGTGTATCAGACTGGCCAGTAGGAGCCTGAAAATGTGCGTGTTCCCTTCCTCACAGCTGGATTGGGGAGCCCCATAGACCCCAGAGAACGTCCACTAAGCGTCCACTCTGTGTTTGCTGCTCCTAGGCCTGGATTCCGGCTCTGCCATGGGCAGGGGTCCTGGCCCCGCACGCCCATGGCTACTTCGCCAGCCAGTTGATGCTGTTAGGAGCTGTCGAGTCAGCTCGACACCCAGCGCCCCTCTGTACAACCGAATGAAACGCTGCCCGGTCCTGCACCACCCTCACAATCCTTGTTGTTGGCGCCCGTTGCTGCAGCCCCTGTGTCGACCCCTCTACTTCACCAAGCATTATGTCCTTCTCCAGGCACTGGTCCCACCTGAAAACATGTCCAAACGAAGCCAGACCGAGTCGCACCATTGTGGCTTCCAAGATGCATTGCAGCTGCATTTCTTCCAAGATGGATTTGTCAGTTCTTCTGGCAGTCCATGGTATTTTCAGTATTCTTCACCAACACCACAACTCACAGGCATCAACTCTTCCTCGGTCTTCCTTACTCACTGTCCAGCTTTCACGTGCACAGGAAGCAAATGAAAACCACGGCCTGGGCCAGGTGCACCTTAGTCTTCAAAATGACATCTTTGCTTTTAACACTTTCAAGAGGTCTTTTGCAGCAGATTTGCCCAATGCAATATGTTGCATATTGCTCCCTCAAGAAGGCCCCCAATGTTGTATACATTCCAAGCCCCATAAAACCCAGATCTTGTCATAATCCTTGCAAGGCTCTTAGCACGGAGGAAGGACCCAGTAAATGCTCAGTGAAGTGTCGGATTACCCAATAAGTAAGTAATGGGTGAAACTGTTCACGGCAGATGAGTAAGTAAACCCACGCTTATCTTGCTCACTGGGTAATGAGCCTCTGTCAATAAAAGGTAGTTGTCATTCGAGCCCAATCAAGTAGACCTCAAGGCCACAAAGAGGGTGGTGGAGGCTGTCACAGCGTTCAGATCGCCAACAACTCAGACCACAACGGTAGTGGGAAATGGTTGTTCCTTTTATTTCCTTGTTTCCCTTTGCCCAGTGATATGTGGCAGCGCTCTGGTTAGTGGTTTTCCCACCCTTGTCATCTGGGTGAGTGACGCTGCTTCCGTGGGCGTTGATTGTGGATCCAAGCAAAATGATATCTCTGACAGCTTCAATCTTTCCTCCATCTATCCTGATACTGCTTATGGGGCCAGTTGTGAGGATTTTCATTTTCCTTGTGTTGAGGTGTAATCCACACCGCAGACTGCAGTCTTTGATCTCCATCAGCAAATGCTCCAAGTGATCTTCACTGTCAGTAAGCAAGGTTGTGTCATCTGCATATCACAGGCTGTTCGTGAGTCTTCCTCCAATCCTGATGCCACATTCTTCTTCATATAGTCCAGCTTCTTGGATTATTTGTTCAGGATGCATTGAATAAATATGGTGAGAGGATACAACCCTGACGCACCCCGTTCCTGGTTTTAAGCTAGGCAGTATCCACTCGTTTTGTGTGTGAATGACAGCCTCTTGGTCTACGTACAAGTTCCTCATGAACATAATGCAGTGTTCTGGAATTCCCATTATCCTCATGTTAACCATCATTTGTCATGATCCACACCGTCAGATGTCTTTGCATGGTAAAGAAAACATCTTCCTGGTATTCCCCAGCCAGGCCCCCCACATACAGGCTGGACAGGCCCTCTGGGACCCCCTGCCCTCTCCACGTGCAATCAGGATTCCACCCCCACAGAGACTTTCACCCTTTCCTGGGAGATTCAGAGTTGGAGCATGGTTCCCGTGCACACCCGAGGTCAAAGGGCAGGGAGCCTCCTGTCCTGGCCCAGGTCCAGATTCCAGCTCTGTTACCCACTTCAGGACCAGACCCCCCAAGACCGGCAGTCCTGTAGCTGAGCCTAGCATGGACACTCGCTACATGTCTCAGCCCCACCCCCATCTGCACAGCTGCCCCAGGAAAGTCGCCGGGACAAACAGCCTGGCCTCTGCCCTACAGCAGTGACGCACCCAAGGATCCAAAATGGCCCTCAAGGCCCCTAAGCCATCCAACGGCCCACTCTCCACAGAGGAGGCATGGCCAAGTGGGGGCCTCAAGGAGAACCCCAGGAGAGGAGGGGCGGGGGCTTTGTCTTGGGGGGGGTCCCCACAGGAGGAGGGAGGCCTCTGAGCCCAGAGCCTGGCAGGAGCATAAGCCTCAAACCCTAGCTCCCAGGGTGACATCCCTCAGCCCTGCCAGCCCCCAGCCTCGTCCTGTCTTCTTGACCCTCCCCCCAGGCCCGTTCTTTGGGACGATCACAGGCCTTCTCCTCTGAGCCTGGTGCCTCCCCCGTCCTGCCCAGGGGACAAGCCCATGTGGAGACCACCAAGGGGGCCTCAGAGCTAGAGTGCTGGTGGCCCACCCCAGCAAGATAACTGTTGGGGGTGACTCAGAGGGACAGTTCTTCCCCAAGCCCTGCAGACCCCAAGAGGAAGGTTGCCCAAATCACTGACCCCGCCAGACAGAGAGCCCTCCTCCTGTCTTCCTCCCAGTGCTCCGCGGGAGCCAGGCCTGGTTCTGAGGACCGAGGTGCCCAGGGACTGAGCCCATAACAGTGACCGATTTTTGGAGGGGGGGGTGATTAGGGTCGGGGTATTGGGCACTACCTCATGTTTGAGATCCCCTTATCCTTGCAGAGGCACTCTGCCAGGGCTGTGGTCTCAGATCCGGATATTCAGACGCCTGGCCCTGAGCCTCCCCTAGGGGCTGTTCCGGGTTTATAGTCCCACATGGGCGTGTCTGGGCCAGAGGTCAGGGGCCAGGGATCCGCACTGCACTGCTGAGTGACTGGGCCAGCCACCACTCCACCCAGCTCAAGCCTGAGCCCCAAGTCAGGAGACTCAGGGCTGGACCAGCCTCACTGCAGGGACCCCCCCGCACTATCACCTGTTCACACACATGCCCCTCCCTGTGACCTGCCCTGACACCCACCAACCACTCACCACAAGACCTGGTTTCCTCTCTACCTTTCCCCATCACCCCCTACTGGAATCCTCACCTCCCACCCAAGACCCCCAGCACCACCTTCCCCTGCCAGCTTCCACACTGCCTCCCACCCGCTGCCTGCCTTCCTCTCAGTGACCTGCATACTGAAGACTCCTTGGTTACTGGGTGGGAGGGGTACTGGCTGTGGGTCCCCAGAAGGCATCAGACTGCAGACGGCTGGCAGGGCTCACTGCACCTCTGCAGACAGTGCAGGATCAGGGAGGACACGTGCCTGCAGTATGGATGGCAGAAAGCTATTGGCAGCCTGGGGACCATCCGCCGTGCTGTCCCCTCCACCCCCTTTCTTCAGCCTTCCCGGGGCACCAGCCCTCAACTGGCAGCTGCTGACACGGAGCTCCAAACACCTGAAGAGCAGATGGCCCCGTGTGCAGCCAGTGCCTCTGAGAAGGAGGAAGAACAAGTATTTGAAAATACTGTAACACTTCCCAAATGTTATGAAAAACATTAATCCACAGATCCAAGAAGATCGTGTACCCCAACTGGGACCAACACAAAGACACAGCATAGTCACACTGGTGAAACCCAAAGACAGAAAGAACATCTTGAAAGTGGCAAGGTGGAACTACTCACCACGGAAGGCACTCAGAGTACAGTTAACAGCTGACTTCTCGTCAGATACCATGGCAACCAGAAGACGTGTGAAGGAGTCAAACCAATTCCTCACACAGTATAGAAGAGGTGAGAACATCCCTGTGAGACCAGTGTCACCCCAGTGTCACCCAATATTCCCCAAAGACATCGCCAGAAATTAGAACAATGGACCGATATCGCTCATGAACACAGAAGCAAAAATATGAATAAAATACTAGCAGAACAAATCCAGCAACGTACCAAAAGGAAATTACCCCAGAAATGCAAAATTAGTTTAACATTTTAAAAATCAATGAATATAATTAATACATGGATAAAATGCAGACTGCCACATCTTTCTCCCATGAGCAGCTGGTGTGTTTGAACGGCTGGCCCATGACCTCATAGATTCTTCTGTGTAACAGAATGCAACATGGCCACCCCCACAGTTGTTGCCATGTTTGAGCCCATCATTGCAGCCACTGTGTCAATCATTCTTGTGGAGGGGCTCCCTCACATGATGTCCTTCTCCAGGGATTGGTCTCTCCTGATAATGCGTCCAAGGACGGATGGGTAATATTACGTGTTATCTTGGCTGGGATGTGAGTCTCAGTGGTTTGGCTGGCGTTGGACTGCTTGCTCTTCCAAAATAAAACATGATGCAATCACCTTTGTGATGTGATCAGCCAATCAGTTGAAAGGGGTATTTCCTTGGGGTGTTGTTCTGGTTACCTAGTGCTGCCCTGAGTAGAGTATACCACAAATGGGATGGCTTGAAGAAACAGGAGTTTGTTCTCTTACAGTTTGGAGGCTTTAAGTCCAAGTTCAAAGTGCCAGACTCTAGGGCCTGGGTGAAAGCCCCTTAACCTTGGGCTTCATTCAGCTCTGCCTCCTGCTCCCGGCCCACTGAAGCTGGAGGCTGTTCTTCACTCAGCTGCTGGCTGCTGAGGCTGACAAGCCCAAGGTTGACAAGTAATAAGGCACAGCCCCGATGTTACCAAACCACATGGCAGGCCATTGATTCAAGTCTATTAAAAGTCCCAAGATTGGCAGAGCGTGGCAGGCTGCTAAACAATGACTCGGCTACGTACAGGATTCAAGTGTGCTGTGAGCTGGAGACCATGCCCAAAGCTGCTGCTTATATACAGGAAGCAGACCACGTATCCAAAGCAGCTACTCAGCTGATCCAATACATTCCACCATGGAGTTAATTACCAGTCTCACCATGGGGAATAACTACATTCAGCTGCACAGCCACTCAGCCAGGCCCAGCCAAATTGACACACAGTCTTAACCACCACAGGTGTGCCCTACCACCAGGTGATAAATGGCTGTTCCAGCTAGGCCCCCTCTCTCAACCCTGCACTCTTCCCATCCCCTGACCTCTGGTTCAGTTATTGGGAAGTAAACCTTCACAAGTCTTCAGCCTGCTGCCTGACCCGCAGAGGTGGGTCCACTGGTTCCTGCAACTGCTTGAGCCAGAAGAGGCCTCCTGCCTGCCACTGGGCCCCAGATTTAGGGTTTGCCACTCCCACATTTACATGAGCCATTTCCCCAGAGTAAATCTATCTGTTCATGTAGACACTTCACTGATGGTGCTGCTCTAGAGGACCAAGACTGAAACGGTCAGTGAGGCAAAGCCAAGCTACCATCACTTCTAAGGAGCATCTTGTCTGCTTCCTCAGTGTCCATGGTAGAGGCAATATTCTTCAGCAACACCACAGTGCGTCTTCGGTCTTCCTTTTTCATTCTCCAGCTTTCACATGCCTATAAGATGACTGAAAACGCCACAGCTTGGGTGAGGCATACCTTAGTCATTAACAGAAAAGCCCAGTGAGATACCACTACCTGCCCACTACCAAAAAAAAAAAAAAAAAAAAAAAAACCTCACTGACTTCATGTTGACTCACAGCGACCCCTCCTTGGTACCTCTACCAAAGTAGATTGCCCAATCTTCCTTCCAAGGAGTGGCAGGTGGGTTTGAACCACCAACCTTCTGGTTACCAGTCAAATGCCTTAGGCACTAGGCCACCAGACCTGTCTGCTAGGATGGCTATAATCCCAAAAACAAGTGTTGCCAAGGATGTAGAGAACCTGGAATCCTTATATGTTGCTGGTGGGAATGTAAAATGGTACAGTCATTTTACATTTACTGATGTAAAAAATGAAAGGAAACAAAAAACCGATTCCCCACAGAGCTCCCAGTGAGCCCTTCTCCTTTTGGCCCTACTCTAAGTGTGGCTGCGGGCAGGGACAAGGCAGGGAAGGGGGCTCTGTTGCCTCCATCCCTGTGACCCTCCTGCTTCTACTCTGGGGGAGGTGGGAGCAGCAGTCGGCCTGGGTGCAGGGTGCTGCTTTACCACGTTAGGGGGAGGGTGAGTCAGTGTGGTGTAGCGAATTACCTGGTATGGCTTTTCTAGCCATAAATCTTTGTAAACTCCGTAGTAGAATTTGCCATGAGCAACTGAGGAGCTCCTGATTGCTATAGTTATCCACCTGGGGTATTTCTGTTGGGAGTGGCACAAAGCAATGTTTTGGGAAGTTCACTCTCTCTCAGGTGCTTAGAATTCTGATGTTATGATTGGTTAGTTTGGCCACTCTGCCAGGCTCAAAAGGAGGCCTCCTAGAGGCAGAAGAGGTCTCTGACTGCTGGCTGAGAAGGATGTGCTGCTGAGAGAAACGCGCTCCTGAGAGACACACACTGCTGAGAAAGAGACACGCATTGCTGAGAGAGACACCGAGAGACACGCATGGCTGGGAGAGTGGCTGAGAGAGACTGTTGGCTGAGAGACAGCAGGCTGAGAGAGACTGAGCGTTTTTCCTGAACTTGAATTGTGTAGCCTGGTGCTTCCCTAATAAACCCCATAATCTGTGAGTTCTGTGTGGCCACTACAGTGAATTATCAAACCCAGCAGAAAACTGGTGAGTGTTGTGGGAGGAACAGTAGGTGTCAGGATTGGTGAAAGGGCTGGAGGGAGGCAGCATGTCTGGCCTCACAGGAATAGGCTTTGGGCTACTGATGGTGATTCTGTCCTCTTCTTGTGGGGTTGGAGGAGGTCAGAAGATGGTGCCTCCCTGCCCTTTTAGCAGTCAGGGTAGCTTCCCATCTCCCTCCACTTCCCTAAGCACACACCCTCACACATACACACACGTTCATAACCCTCTCACACTCACACCTGCACATACTTGTTTAATGCTCACACCCACCGACACCCTCACAGAACCTCATGTATATGCATACACTCACATTTACACATGCATCCTCACACTAACTCATACACAGGTTTGTTCATGCTCATACATACATGCACTCACATGCAAGCACTCACATGCAAGCACTCATACACACATGCACTCGTACGCACACTAATACATGTCCAATTTCACTCAGTTTTACACACACATACTCACATGCACTCACACATGCACTCATACACACACACACATATATATCCAGTTTCTCACTCACATACTCCCACATGCATGAATTTACATGTTCACATACTTTCACACTAATGCCCACACATGACTATTCATGCTCACACACACATACTCAGTGTCACCCACCCACACTCACACACTCATACACATCATTTCACACACACTCATAAATGAATTCCCATGTTCACACACATACACTCACACACACTCAGCTGCACATAGTCTCACACTCACCAGTACACACCTTCCCATGTTCACGCACCCTCTCACACTGATGCCCTACATGCCCACGCTTTCAACTTAAGCCTGCACCTGCTGCACGAGTCATGAGGAATCTAGACCTCAATCTCCACCTTGACCCATGCCCCTTGTAAACAACTGTGGCCCCAGGTGAGAGGAAGGCAAGCAGAGAAGGGCAGGGAGCAGGGCAGGCATTGTCTCTGAGCCTGGCTGCTGAACCCTGAGATCAAGGGCTGCTCTGGGGCCCTGGGCAGGGCTCTCTTTGCAGCCGATGCTGACCTCCTGGGAGGGGAGACTCCGCTCATGCCCCAAGGAGCACAGACTTGATTCCAAGGGGTGCAGCCTGACTTGCACCCAAAGAGCAGGGTGCAGGGTGGCGGGGTGAGTGCTTGTAAGTCTCAGGAGTGTGCTTGTGTAGCACGTGTGTAAAGGTGTACAGGATGTGTGTGAGTGTGCATGTATACCATGCATCTGTGTAGTGTGTATGAGAGTGTGTGGGTGTGAGTGAGGCCGTGGGTGTGAGATTGTGTGTGGGTAGAGTGAGAATGTGGCAATGTGTGAGGAGGCATGTGTGTGTGAGGGTGTGTGTGTGTGAGACGTGTATGTGGCACAAGACCTGATGTGGGAGGGAATGTGTGTGAGAGTGTGTATGAGGGAGGAGGATCTATGTGAGAGAGAAGGAGGGTGTATGTGTGTGAGGTGGTGTGTGGCATAAGATTAACATTTGAGGGTGTGTGTGGCTGTGTGAGGATGTGAGGATGTGTGTGTGTGAGAGCGGTATGTGTATGAGGTGTGTGTGAGAGAAATGTGTGTGTATGTGAGGCTGTGTGTGAGGGTGTGTGTAAGAAAGATGGTGTGTGTATGTGTGTGAGGTGTGTGTGTGGCATAAGATTAATGTTTGAGGGTGTGTGTGTGGCTGTGTGAGAATGTGAGGATGTGTGTGTGAGAGTGGTGTGTGTGTATGAAGTTTGTGTGACAGATGGGTGTGTATATGAGGCTGTGTGAGGGTGTTTGTGTGAGACAGTGTATGTGTGTGAGGTGTGTCTGGAATAAGATTAATGTTTGAGGGTGTGTGTGGCTGTGTGAGAATGTGAGTATGTGTGTGAGAGAGAAAGGGTGTGTGTGAGGTGTGTGGGGGACAGGGTCCAGGGAAGGAGCTGTGATGTGGGAGGAGGCGGCTGTGCGGTGGTGAGCGGTGTGTGACAGCCTGAGGATGTCGGAGAGGATGTGAGGGAAAGAATGTGAGGCGGGTGTGTGAGGTGAGGGGTGCGCGCGCACGCGTGAAGGTGTGTGACGGGGGCCAGGGCACCGGGTCTGACGTGGGGGTGCATCTGGAAGCTTCTTGGGTCCCGCCACCCCCAGATCCCGCCGGTATCCCTGGCAACCGCGGCCTCGGTCTGGGCGCTCGGCCCCGCCCCCGCCCCCGCCCCGCCCGCTGCGAAGGGTCTGGAACCGCAGCCGCGATCCCACATCCTTGCCGTCCTCTGGCGACCGCATCCCGCTGCCGCCGCCACCCGCTGCAGCCGCCTGTGAGCGATTTCCACACTTGTACTTGTGGCCTGGGGGTGGGGCAGGGGTTGAGTGTGTACGCGTGTGCGAGGCGCGTGTGCTCGCGGCTGTGCACGCGGGTGGGGCAGCGGCAGGCTGCCGCTGACCTGATGGGTGGCCGGGCCCGGGATCGGCCTCTGCCCTTGGGATTCGCAGGATGACCGAGGCCGGGTCGCCGGGAGGGTCCGAGGAGGGCCCGGCGGACCAGCGGCAGGAAGGGAAGGGCGCTCGAAGCCAGTCCGGCAGGCGCACGAGCCGCCGGGACCGTCCTGAGCGGTCGCGGGGTGGGGGTGGGGTGAGTGGCCGTCAGCCGCTGCCCCCACGGTGACCGCAGCTCCTCCACCCAGAGCTCCACCCCTGCGGATCCGAGAGAGCCAGTGGGAGCCCGGCATCTCGAGGTGGGGTGCGGCCCCAGGGGGATTCGGCTCTGCTGGGGGTTGCTGCGTGGCAGGCAAGGGTGGCCAGCGCCAGGGGAGGGCACTTCTGTCGAGCGACTGCAGCCTTGGTTCTGCGGCTGGACGCCAGGTCGCAGGGTACCCGGGAGCGGAGGCAGCCTGTGCCGGCCCCCGCGTGCAGCTGGCTGCGCAGAAGAAACTGAGCCAGGCCCACACCGGCTGCGGCGCGCCAGGCTGCCAGGCCGGGGGACGCCGGGGCACCGTTCAGCTGGGTTTGCGGTGGAGCCCGCGGGCGCTCACGTCCGCGCCACGCGCACCCCGACGCCCGCACGTGCCCGCGCGACAGCACACCCCTCTCTGCCCGCCGGGACGCAGCGTTCCAGGGCGCTGTGGGTGACCCGTCGGGGCGCATCCAGTGCCCGCCCCCGCGGTGCCGAGGCCTCGGAATCAGGAGACCTACAGACAGAGCCCCGAGCAGCGCGGCGTGGAGGGGGCGCAGGAGGAGTGGCACGACCCCCAGCTGCACCGAGGTCTGAGCCGCGCGCATTAGCCTGGCGCAAAGGACGAGGGCGAGGTCCTGCACACAGCCCAGGCCCCCGATTCTGCCCGGGGCACTGGGGACGCGGGCGGGAGCCTGAGGCCGAGAGCCACCCCCCCCCACCCCGGCTTCTTTTCTGGGGGAAGACGCAGCTCCGCAGGCTTAGCTCTGTTGCCATGGAAACCCGCGGTGACATCAAACGCTCATCCTTGCTGCTCCGCGGAGTGGGAATTTCCGATTGGATCAAAGCGGACCCCGAGGCGGGTCTGCCTGTGGGGCGGGGCCTCCTGCGCACTGGGCGGAACCCACGCGGGGTGGAGCGGGTCTGCGGGACCGACCCCGCCCGCCGGCCTCACCCCTACCTCTCCGACTTTCCGGAGCTAGGAGGCAGCCGCGGGGCCTGCGGGCGGTGGGGGCTCCGCCCTGCGTTCTGCAGGTGTGACAGCACTCGGGCCACTGCCCGGGGTCCAGGGTGAAGCCGCCCACAGCAGCGCTGGGCTCCCTGGTCCTATCGTCTGTCTCTCCCTCCCCGGAGGCTGGGGGAGGTGGCAGGCGGAGGCGTTGCCTCGGTCCCTTGTGCGGAGCCTGAGGCTGCGGCGTGGCCGCAGGCCTTGGTGAATGAATGAATGAATGAATGAATGAACGGAGGGATGAATGCACTGTGTGACCGCGTTCGTTAGTGGCCGGCTGCCGCCCGCCCGGGGTGGGGCGCTGTGCCAGCACCCTCCAAGCCGATTCCGGGACAGGCTCAGCCCCCACGTCAGGAGGAGCCTGCAGGGGTAGCGGGCAGTTGGCCCGGAGGCATCCATCACCACCACCCACACAAGGACGACTCTGGACCTAGCCCTAAGTTAAGACACCCTCAGAGGCCCAGTGAAGCCATGGTGGGGAGCAGAGTGACCTTTTGTTGTTTTCCATTGTTTTCAAGCTTTTTGTGGAGAAACACCAGGACTATGTAGCTCACACAATAAACGCACACCTAGTGAGCCATCATAAAGTGGCCTGGTCCCCAGAAGCCCACCTGGCCAGCCACCCCTTGACTCTGTGTTGGTGTTTGCCTGTCCCTGGTGTTCTGAGCGGCTGCTTCCGCTGCCCTTACTCTGGGAGATCCCCACCCCCTCTAGCTCTTAGCGGTCCTTGGAGTCAATCTGTCCTACTCTTGAGGGCTAGGTGAGGGTTCCAGTTTCTTCCTACTGGGCATAAGTAGCCCTGTACTTGTACCTCCTGTATTTCTGTTGGGTCTACACCTAGAAGTGGAATTGCTGGCTGCGGGTTCAACATTAGTGACAAATGCTTCCCCATGAAAACATGCGGGAGCTCTGGTGGCAAAGTGCCTAAGGCACTTGACTGCTAACCAAAAGGCTGGTGGTTCAGACCCACCAGCCTCTCCTCCGAAGGAAGGTTGGGCAATCTACTTCTGTAGTGATACCACCTCAGAAACCCAAGGAGGGGTTGCTATGAATTGGAGTGGACTCTAGGGCACCGAGGTTTGGTTTGGTTTTGTCTGAAGCAAAGAAGAGTAAAGAAAATCAAACACTCAAGGAAACAATTACAGCAGGAGTAATGAAGCATGCAGACCCCACCTCCACAGCCCTGAGACCGGAAGAACTAGGTGGTACCCAGCTACCACTACCAACCTCTGAAATGGATCCCAATAAAGGGTCCTGGATGGAGTGGGAGAGAAATATGGCACCAAACTCAAAGTCATAAAAAGGACCAGGCTTACTGGTCTGGCAGTGGAACCCCCGACACTGGTCCGTAGACACCCTCCAAGCCTGGAACTGAACTCATCCCTGTGGCTCCACTTTCAGCCAAACAATAGACAGGCCTGTGAGGTGAATAATGACACCAGGGAGGTCCCACTCCTTAGAACAGACAACCATGCAGGTCAGAAGGTCAGCATGTGGCTGAGGAGGAAGCTCAGAAGGTAGGAAGGGCTGGGCAGGAAGGATGAAGGGACACGGAGCACAGGGAGGAAGGGAGCTGTGACGTTACAGGGGCTACAGTCAGTGTCACGACCAAAATGTGTGTGAATGGTCGAATGGAAAGCCAATGTGCTCTGTTAACTTTCACCCAAATCACAAGAAAAAGTTACAAATAAATAAATAAAAATAAAAGTGCTGGGATTCCAAAAGCATAAAGGCATTTCCCCAAGAGGGGTGCAAAATTGCCAAGTGGGGTGCCCATTGTCCTGGGGCTCTCTGGGTTCCTGTGGGGTACAGTGGTGCCTCTCTGGAGACACTGGTATGCCTTCCTGGATGATTAAACAGGGGAGCACCTTTGCAGACATGGACCACTTGTCCTCTTTTGCCTGGTTTTCTAGAGGCCTGTCTTTTTCCTTACCAGTTTGAGGTGTTCTTTCTACATTTTGGCTAAAATCCCTTTGTCAATTGTGAATTCATAATCTTCTCCCACACCTAGTTTTCATGTCTTTTAGTGCTATGTTTGGATCAGCAGAAGTTCTTAGTTTTAATGTAGTCAGTTATCAGTATTTTATGGCTAGGCATTATTTGTCTTGTCAAAATCTGCCCCCACCCCTTGGGTCAGGGAAATATCCTCCTGAACTACCTAGAGTTGTCACTCAGGTGACAGTCCATGTGCAGTTAACTTTTGTGTGTGGTGTGAGGTAGGGATTGGCTCACTGTTTGCCATGTGGACGTCATTTATTGAAAGGATGGCTCTGTCCCCCAGCTCTGTAGCAGCACCTCTGTTGTCAATCCAGGGCCATGTCTGCAGGTGTGTTATGTGGCTCTCTGCCTGTGACACATTAGTGCCACACTGCTTGAGTTCTGCAGCTAGAGGACAACATGGACATCTGGTAGACCAAGTCTTCTCCTCTGTTCCCATCAAGCTGTCTTGGCTGTTCTTGTCCTTTGCCAAATTTACAGTGTTTGTAAAATTTATAGGACTTGTCCACACACACACACACACATTCCTGTTGGAATTTCAGTTGGGATTTATTGACTCTATAGCTACATTATTTTTTGGGAAAATGACATGTTTAAACAAGGAGCCTGCCCAAATCCACAACCATATTGTTCCCCATTTATCTGGGGGATTTGGGTCTTTTTGATCCAGTAACGTCTCATGAGTTTCCACCTGGAGGTCCTGCCATTTCTTGTCAGATGGACTCCTGGGCAGTGGATAATTTTGGTATTACCTAACTGGAATCTTTTAAAAATTATTTCCTAACTTTTTTGTGGCTGGTACACATACATAGAAGTACACTCTGAATACCTAAAATCCAGCAACTTTGCTCAACTCACTTTTTAAACCTAATAATTTCTCTCTGGAGTCTTTTGGATTTTCTGGACAAAAATTTTCTGCACTCACTATGCACATCTGTGTATAGTGAGTAATGTTTTCCAGTCTATATATCTCTTATTTCTTTTTCTTGCCCACTAGCTTTGGCTAAGACCTGTGCAGAACTTGTGATAAAAGGCATTTTTGCCCCCTTGCTGATCTCAAAGGCAAAACTCTCACCATGCACACTCATTAAGGTTTACTGCAGGCTTTTCTGGTGGATAACTCTTACAGATTTAGGCAGGTTCCTTCTGCCCCTAACGTACTAGATGTTTGAGATAGTAAATGGATGTTGAATCTTATAAAATACTTTTTCAGCTCCTGTTGACATTGATCAGGTGACTTTGGTTAGTTTGGTGAAATTTATGGACTGCTTTTCAAACCTTAAATGACATTTCTCAACTGGCCACCATGCATTACTTTTGGTGTGTTGATTTTTGTCCCGATATTTGTGGGTGGAACTGGCCTGGTACATCTCTCACGTTGTTCTCCCCAGATTTTGAAGCTGTGGTTATGGTGGCTCCGTGCAGTGAGCTGGGGGTGTCCCCTCAGTCTCTGTGGGGCTACGTGGGGGCTCTTAGTACCCACCATGCAGCATCCATGCTGTGCTCTGCTCGGTAGCCTTGAATTCACTCATGGGCATGCCCTTCTGCAGCCGTGTTCTGCCCTTCTCCGGCCATGTTGGAGCAAACAGCTAAACTTGAACTGCAGATGGACAATGAATCATTTTAGCATAAGTCTGTCCCACTCTGCATATTACGTGGGTATACTTATACTAAAGAAAAGTGTTTGTGGCTGATCCCAAGTTCAAATTTAACTGCATGCCCTGTGCTTTCATTCACCACATCTAGCACCCTTCGTTTCCAGGCTTCTAGTTGGGAAGACTGTCCCTGGGAGCAGGTCTGCTGGGGAAGGTTTTTGTCTGGCAAGCACTGCTCAGAGGTGTCCCTTCAGTGCACTGGGGCCTAGGCAATGGGGTGGGCAAGAAGGTGCCAGCTTTTGGCTGCACCACTGCCTGCCCCAGGCCAGGGCCTTGCTCTGGAGCGAGGAGCATGAGACCAGTCTGGGGCCCCTGGCGATCTGAGCCAGGTTGGAGGGGTGTGGAGCTATTGGCCTGTGGGCAGTGACCCTGTTTCTGTCTTTGCTTCAGGCTGAGGATTGCTGTCCACTATGGTGAAGTTGGGCTGTAGCTTCTCTGGGAAGCCAGGCAAAGACCCTGGGGACCAGGATGGGGTTGGCACGGACAGTGTCCCTCTGATCAGCCCCCTGGACGTCAGCCAGCTTCAACCACCGTTCCCAGACCAGGTGAGGGGACTGGGCCAGTGTGTGGGGGTGAGGGTGGCTCCCCTAGAGCGATGTGGGCGACATTCACTGAATGTGCAGCCTCTGAGGTGTGGTAGGGCAAATGGGGTGCGGTGGGCCAGGGCTAGGCTGAAATCCCCCTCGGGGCTCTCTGACCAGGCCGCCCGATCCCCACCTCCGCGGGTCGGTGGGCTGAAGGCTAGGAGTTATGACCAGCAGAGGGCGCGCAGCAGGCATGAGTCCCCTGATGGTGATGCAGGACGCGCAGGGCGCCCACCGCCAGCCTTTCTGCGCCCTCTCTCCGCAGGTGGTCATCAAGACGCAGACGGAATACCAGCTGTCCTCCCCCGGGCAGCCCAAGAAGTTCCCCGACCTGGAGGCCCAGAAGCCGAGCTGCAGCCACCCAGAGGAAGGGCGCAAGGTCACTTGCTGCCACTGCTGTGGGCTGTGGGAGGCGGGGAGAGGACAGAGGATGGGGACCGTGGGCACCCGGGGAGCCAGGCCAGCTGGAGAGGACAGTCCACAGTCCGTCCCCGCAGTAACCGAGTCCCTCCGCTCTGCCGCCGCCGCAGCTGCCCACAGCGCGGATGATCGCCTTCGCGATGGCGCTCATGGGCTGCGTGCTGATCATGTACAAGGCCATCTGGTATGACCAGTTCACCTGCCCCGACGGCTTCCTGCTTCGGGTAAGGTCAAGGGCCCTGGCTTCGCCCGGAAGTGGAGGGAACAGTAGAGACCCCTCCCCATGGCGCTGAAAGGAGGCGGCCCTTGGTGGCCGCCACCTCGCGTCGGCAGCGCACAGCGCCCCTAGCGGCTGCTCACTTGCTACGGGCTGGATCGGGTGGGAGGCAGGGAGCGAAGGATGCGGAGGGGCGCCGCCCGCCTCCATCCGAGCCTCCCCTAGTGCCGCACTGGTTTCCCGTTCCGAGGGGGACGGGCCCTGGGATTCGGGAGTTCCCAAGGGCCTTTCCCCAGCGCCCCCGGCCCCGCCCTAGTCCCGGGCCCGCGTCCTTCCCTGACCCGGCCCACCTGCACTCGGGCCCTGGCTCCGTCCCAGACCCGCCCGCCCAGGCCCCAATCCGGACTTCGCCCCGCCCCTGGCCCCGCCCCCTGCCCTGACCCGGGCCTCGCCACGCCCAGCACAAGATATGCACACCGCTGACGCTGGAGATGTACTACACCGAGATGGACCCCGAACGTCACCGCAGCATCCTGGCGGCCATCGGGGCCTACCCGCTGAGCCGCAAGTACGGCACGGAGATGCCCTCGGCGTGGGGGGAGAGCTACCGCACCCCCGCCAAGGACGACCCCAAAGGACCCACCCAGGCGGGGGCGGCGGCAGACCCCCAGCCGCCAAGGAAGCCCCCGGCCAAGGGCGAGAAGGAGGAGGCCCGGAAGGCGACCGGGAGCTCGGCGCCCCTGTCGCCACAGTGACGCATCTCCACTCCACGGCCACCGTCTGCCCTGCCCCGGGGGTAGGTCAGCCAGTCCCCCTCATAGGTCTGTGGGGAAGGGGACAGGTGGGTGAGCCAGGCCTACCGGCACATCTGTGCAGCCCTTCCTCAGCAGGTGTGCCCAGTCCCCCAGGAGGGGCAGTCAGGGACCCTCCTCACTGCCCTCACGCCTGGGTTCTTTCCCCACGCCAGCCCATGGCCTGCATCTGAGCCAGGGCCGGGCTGCAGAGTGTAGCAGGTGGCCTGAGGTGGGTCCCAGGCCTCAGCCTGTTCTTGTCCACCAGGTGGGCGGTGGGGCTGCAGCCAGGCCTGCCTTGCCCACTCCTGACGCCAGGCCTTCGGTCTTTGGAGCTGCCCTCCCTCAGCACCTGTGACCAGTGAGGCCACCTTTTGTCCCTTTGTCCACGTGTTGTGCTCCTGCCCCGGCCAGCACCTCACCGGTGCACCCCCAGGACACGTCTCAGCCCCCACCCTCAAGGCTTCTGACCCCCATGCTTTTGTGTAAGTAAAGATTCCTGTTCACTGAGGCTGTGTCTCTCCTCTGTGTTCCGAGGGCCCCCAGCCTTCTGCCCCCTGGGGATCCAGGGCCAGCATCATGGACCCCCACACACAGCCCAGAGGGACCCCAAGATCTAGAGAGCACTATGGCTGTGGTGGGATCAGCCGGCTGGGCCCTGGGAGCCAGGTACATGCAGGTGGACATGGGAGGCCTGGCCCAGAGCCCTTTGAGGACAGGGCCTTGTTGAGACTCAGCCCTTCCCATCCATACCATGGCCGAGCTGACACCCACACAACAGAGCCAGAGTCCCTGGGGTCATCCCCGCCTGCCTGCAGACCCCACTTGGCTGTGTCCAGCCACCCTCCGTCTGTCCTGGCCCACCTCCCCATCTGACTGGGAGCTGCCCTCTGTCCAGCAGCATCTGGCCATGGCCCCTGCCCCCATCTCCAGATGCCTGGATGAGAAGATGGAGAAGGGACAGGAGGCGTGGGTCTGAGATGGCAGGGTGCAGGCATCCCCCACCCTCTCCGTTCCTCAGCCTGCAGGGAGGGGTGGGACTGCAGGCCCCCAAGAACTGTCTGCTTCATACCTGCCCAGAGGTTCCCAGCCATCCCACCCTAACCCAGACACCCAGCCTTGGGGAAGGTGAGCTCAAGTCGCTACCTAAGGAGAAGCCTTGGGACTTAAGGCTGTGGGCAGGGGACAGTGACAGAGCCTGGAGAGCAAGAGGAAGGTAGCTGACGGTGGACCCAGCGCCGCTGCTTCCTGCACTGTCGGTCAGCAGGTGACTGTGTGCTTCCAGGTGAGGGCTGGGCATGAGGTGGGCACGGGGCACACGGGGTGGGCACAGGACACACATGGGGCACATACAGGTCATACATGGGGTGGGCACAGGGCACGTGGGACGGACACGGGGCATAGCTGCTTCCTGCACTGTCGGTCAGCAGGTGACTGTGTGCTTCCAGGTGAGGGCTGGGCATGAGGTGGGCACGGGGCACACGGGGTGGGCACAGGACACACATGGGGCACATACAGGTCATACATGGGGTGGGCACAGGGCACGTGGGACGGACACGGGGCATAGCTGCTTCCTGCACTGTCGGTCAGCAGGTGACTGTGTGCTTCCAGGTGAGGGCTGGGCATGAGGTGGGCACGGGGCACACGGGGTGGGCACAGGACACACATGGGGCACATACAGGTCATACATGGGGTGGGCACAGGGCACGTGGGACGGACACGGGGCATAGCTGCTTCCTGCATTGTCGGTCAGCAGGTGACTGCTTACAGGCAAGGGCTGGGCGTGAGGTGGGCACGGTGCTGTTACCAGCACAACAAATGGTCACTTTACAGAGACAGTAAGAGAATGAGAAGAGATAGAAAGAGAGGAGGCTTAGCTAAGGTGTCTCTGTATAAACCCCGGAGCGGAGGGGCAAAGCCACACCGTTATGCCATATGCCTCAAGTGGGAACAGAAGGAACACATCAAGCCTTTTACTGGAATGTGTCAACTTTATTTCATTCTATAACATCTTATATAGCGATTAAAACAATACTATGCTATATCATCATGACATGATTTCAGGAGATTGGCTACAAAATTCAATCTCATAAATTTATGTCAAATCTTGCTAAATCATGCTGATTAAATATATTCTCTGTTTCTTCCGGGTATGAGAACCATGGAGATCTGAATGTTTAGCTCAACCTAAGGACAAACTCATTTGTCAACTTGAAGGGAGCCACATTCTTCCCCAACAAGACTCAACATGCAGATGCTATGTGCATCAATGTACTATGGACTCAACATGCAGACACTGTGCATCAATGTAGATTTATATACAGATGCTGTGTATCAATGCTTTGGAGTCTTATATTGTACAGACGCAATGCATCAATGCTTGGAGTCTATGTTCCTCTAAGTCTTTTCAGACTGAGAAACATTCTGGCTCTCAACACACGGGGCACATGGGGTGGGCACAGGGCACACATGGGGTGGGCACGGGTCACATGCAGGTCATACACGGGCTGGGCACGGGGCACACGGGCTGGCACAGAGCACATGGGACAGACACAGGGCATAGCTGCTTCCTGTATTGTTGGTCAGCAGGTGACTGTGTGCTTACAGGCAAGGGCTGGGCACAGGGCGGGCATGGCACACAGGGTGGGCACGGGACACATAGAGGGCGCATGGGGTGGGCATGGGTCACATACAGGTAGTACACGGGCTGGGCTCAGGCCACACCGGCAGGCATGGGGCACATGGGGCAGCACGGATTGCATACACAGCACGCTGTGGGAGGCCCCACCTTTTATACCCGCCTGGAGCACTGGGGACCAAGAGCAAAGCAAGGTCTCTACGGCGTCAGGGGGGCCCCTCTGAGGGGTGGGCAGTGACCCTGGTCCAGGCTAGGGACACAGTGCTGGCTTTCAGGTCCAGGAAAGGGGGTTCTGAGTCCCAGGAGAAGGGTGGTCTGAGGTTTGTGCCTCGGTCAGGGCCTGGGCCTGTTTTGGAAGGATGTAGTGATGCCCCAGAAACATCATGGGCACAGAGAGGGGTGGAGCCCCGAGGGACTGAGTGGGAGGGTGGGGGCTCAGGGAAGGCTCGGCCCTGCACAGCAGGCCCTTCACCACGGGGCCAGGTGGACGGAAGGACACTGGGCGGGGCAGGGCTGGTGGACAGTGGGACACAGGCCCACGGCCCACAGGGTCAGCTGGCAGATGGGTGGGGGGTAGGGGGCCTGCACTGCTGTTGCTGGGTAGAGAGACAACCTTTTCCCTCTATTACATTTTTTATAAGATTTTACTGTGAAATACTCACATTTGCAGAAAAGTTGTCAGGAGAGCACAGAGAACCCCTATACCCTTCACTAAGCCCCGAGCTGTGGGCATGCCACCAGACCCGGAGAACATTTTACCAGGTGTTTCAGAACGTGTTTTGTTCCACGCACCCCCCCCCACACACACACACAAACAAAAACCTGACCCAGGATCAAACGTTGCATTTAGTTATAACACTTTAGTCTCCTCAACTTTAGAACCCCTACCCCATGACCTTGACGGTTTGGGAGTGAGCAGATATGCTGCAGGGGCCCCGGGTTTTGGGGGTGCAGTGTATGCTCACCACTGGATGGAGACTGTGCGTCCCAGGTAGGACCACCCAGAGCAGTCCGGGTCCTTCCAGCACATGGTACCAGGAGGGACCGGTGGGCTTGTCCATCACAGTGATGGAACTTTGATCACTTGAGTAAGGTGGCTTCTGACGAGAGCTTTCCCTACAAAGTTGACATTTTTCCGTTTGTAACTGAGCATCTATTTTGTCGGAAGATACTTGGAGTCTAGGTGACTATTCCCTTCCTCACCAAGCCCTTCCACCTCAGTTTGAGCATCTCTTACTGTCCTTAGGCTGCTGCAGTGAAGCAGCAGAGGGTGGGGGCCTCGATGCAACAGACTTTTAGGCTCTCTCAGTTCCAGAGGCTGGGAGTCCAGACTTGCCGGCCAGCACGGCCATGCTCTCTCCGCTCTGAGGCAGGACCCTTCCTGGGCTCTTCCTGTCTAGCCCCAGGTGCTCCCTGGCTCACGGCTGCACTGCTCTGGTCTCTGCCCCCTTCATCACATGGCTCACCCGGCATCTGTCGGCTTCCATGTCTTCTCCTCATTTTAGAAGCACACAGTCTTGTAGGATTCGGACCCTCCCCGCTGAAGTGTGACCTCATGTTAACCACATAACATCTCTAAGACCCTGTTCCCAAACAGGGCCTTGTTCACAGAGACCCAGAGTCCTGGACATATCTCTATGGGGCCTAATTAGCCCCTAGCACCACATACAGACGACTCCTAGTTGAGTCCACAGCTTCCATTCCAGGTGGAGATGTTCTGATGCTGTCATTTCTTCCACGCGTATTGGTCGGCACCACTGTTAGGGAAACCATCTCCTTCTCCCCCTGGGCCACCCTTCCTTTATTCACGTCACAGCAGCTGTTTAACCCAGGGCCTTGAAGTCTTACTCTCACAGTTTACTTGGATGGCCAGATTGCCACATATTTGGCCAGAGGGCACCGTGCCTCCAACGTGTCCCCCATCACTGTCTAAGCACCCCCTGACTTCCTGGCTGGAGGTCCCCCTGATGTGTCCCCCATCACTGTCCGAGCACCCCCTGACTTCCTGGCTGGAGGTCCCCCCGATGTGTCCCCCATCACTGTTGGAGCACCTCCTGACTTCCTGGCTGGAGGAGATAATCTGGCTCATCTTATACTTTCCCTTCCCTGACCCTGGGATCAGCATTTTCCCAAGAGCCCTGGTTCCTTTAATGGAGAATGGTGCTTAGAAACCAAGACTCCTTGCTTCTAGGTACTCTCAGAGGGTGGGGGTGGGGCTGTAGAAACACACACACATCTACACACGTCTATGTCTCCCATCTACGTATATATGTGTCTGTGTGTATGCACACACACATATACATGCATACATATATGCATATACAAT